CCCAGGGTAATTTAAATGCCATAATCATTTAATTAATCAGTCAACAAGCACTTATTAAGAATTTTCTATATTCCAGGCAGGGGCAGCTAGGTGGCACGTGGATAGAGCACTGGGCTTGGTATCAGGGAGATTTATCTTCCTGAGTTCAAATTCAGCCTCAGACACTTACTAGCTATATAACCCTGGACAAGTCACTTAATCCTATTTGCCTCAGTTTCCTCATTTCTAAAATGAGCTGGAGAAGGAAATGGCAAACCACTTCAGTATCTTTGCCAAGAAAACACCAAATGAAGTCATACAGTAGAACATGACTGAAACAACTCAACAACAACAAAATATTCCAGGCACTAGCAAAGCATTTCAGTAGAAAATTAAATGAAAGATTCTGATGCAGGGTTTTATAAACTGCCAGTCCCCTAGCATAAAGAATCTTAGTAGAGATGTATTCATAAAGCATGTTGGTGGACCCTTGAGTGAGCATCAGGTAGCTTATCTGCTCACTCAGACTAGTTGATTTACTGGTATTCTTTTGAAAAGGTAAGCAAGTTTTAAATGCCCACTGAAAACTGCACAATTGATCAAATAAAATAAATGTTCTGTGATATGTTTGGGGATCTTTTATAGATGTCTTTCAATTGAAACAAAGATAGGATTCATTTTAATCATCATCTCACTTTTGATTTATTACTTTTGTTTTCTTTCTGTTACTAAAAGCATGGTTATAAGACTACATATGGGTTGTATATATGGCATTTTCTGGGGAAAATTCTAGCCTGCATGTAGTTCAATATAGTATCTTGAAGATAAAGTATAGATCTTGTCATCCAATTTCAAGGAAGAGAAAATGGTGAACAGTCCAAGCAAAGACTACTACAGCCATGAAGTGGATAGTTGGGATTTCCATATAAAGACAGTCTAAAAAAAATATAATTCTTCAGCCTGAAAAGATGAAGGTCGAGGCAGGACAAGGTCAAAATATATAAAATTGTGGATAGGGTAAATATGATCCCATCACTTTCCCATAAATGTGAGAAATCAGCCCCAAGTATTTCTTATTGGCACAGAAGAAAGGAAGTGGTTCAGACAAGTGTGAAGAAGTATCTGGAGAAAATGTCAACATACTTAGGCTAAGAAAATGTATAATCCTATGTCATGAATAGGGCTCTCAATCAGACAGGTTTTAAGACCAAGGGCCCATAATGTGCACACTGGTTATTGAAGCAGTCTTATCCAGTCTTATTAACCCATTCCTTCTCAAAGCAGGCTCTGGTATGATTTTGACTAATTTCCTATCCTGCCCCTAGTTTCATGCTTTATACACAAAGGGTTCTCAATATATACTGTTGACTGATTTAGAAATTTTTTTTTTCTAAGATGAGCTATTTTGAGTATGCCGGCTTCTCTGGGCTCTTCTGGGTACTTTGTTTCTCCTGTGCCAATAAACAATGCTTGTTCCTCTGAAGTCATTTATTAAGACCTTTCATCTATGCAGCCAGAGTGAATTTTTCATCAGCCAGAATAAAATACCACTGTAAAACTGTGATAAACAAATGTGGATTTTTTGGAGGGGTTAAGTAGCTTCCAAGTCGCTTACGGTCATACTGGTTTTATTTTTGAATGTATAGAAGCACTAACATCCACAGAACAACTGTACTAACCCAATTCTTTTTCAATTATAACAAATCCTGAAAGGGAAACATGGCCAAGGGGTGTGTGTGCGTGCGTGCCTGTGTATGTTTATGTAACAGAATAAGACTGAGAATCAAAGACCATGGCTTTTAGTCTCAGCTCTTCTAGTCTGTGTTATTCAGTGGTAGTTATGACATCTTCTATGCCTTCAGAGTTCTTATCTGAAAATAAAAGAAGTGCTTTCAAACTCCCTTCTAAAGGGGTTTTTAAGTAATGGCCAAAGGATGAATTCCTAAATTCTTAAAATCACCAATGGCATTGGGGAGGGGGATATGTGTGTCTGGCCAGTGGTCTCACTCTGGATAGGAGTAAGGTGGACCAAGGAAATAAATTCAGGCAGGATGGGGACCCTCATGGCCAAAACTTCTACCCAGTCGTACCTAGGATCATTTTTTAACATATGGTAACAGTGGTAGCAGCTATGAATTCCTCTTGGTGTTTCCTTGTCATTTATCTCCTCCCAGACAACTAATTACTTCCTTGCAAATTTGTCTACTTCTGAAAAAAGCTATACATTTATACATGTCACATTTATTTTCATTGTATTATGTTATGTACATATCTATGTTTTTCTTTTCAGATGTTCTTCTTCCCTTCCCCTCTTCCATTTCTCAACTTAGATTACATATTTCTTAAAGGATGAAGGTGATTCCTTAGATTTCCTTTTCATCTTCTCACAGAAACTATCCAAGACTCTGCATATATGGGTGATCAGTAACTATACAGAGGATTCTAGGATTAGGAGTTAGTCACACTTGTATGGTACATTTCTGCTTGCAAAGCACAAGAAATCATCTAGTTCAGCAACCTCATTTTAGACAGGAGGAAACAGAATATTGAAAAGTAAAGGGACTTGACCAAGGTGATATAAACAGTAAACAGCAGACTTGTGATTTCAACTCAAGTTGTCTGACTCCAAATTCAAGACTCTTTCCCATGTTCTACTTCATTTTCCTCATCTGTAAAAATGGGAATAATGCTAGTAGCTATCTCCTAGGGTTGAGATAGTATTTGTAAAACACTTTGCAAACCTTAAAGCACTTTGTAAATGCTAGTTGTTATTATTAGTATTATTGATATTACAATCAATATTATTGATACCTTGACTTATTAATGGCCATTGGCAACATCTATCTTTGACCTTTGTGTGAATACTAATGAAGTTCCATTTAAATCCTACTGCTAAGGTATAACATTTACTCTAGCTAATGCTATTCAAATTATTTACTTCTAAAGGACTGTGCCTACCTAGAGAATTAGGGCCTGGTGCTTCTTGGGATTTGCTAATCACATCTGGTTTAGCTTTAGATATTTTCTGGGGTTTTGCCAGCAGCCATGACACTTTAATGGCTACAATAAACCTCAGAGCCTCATCAAATCTTTGCTGTATGTGTGAAAATTATGTCCTCTTCAATTAAACATTTAATCTGAGCTCAAGTCGAGGTCTTATCAACAGGGAGGTTAAACCTGAAAGGGAATGTTAGATTAAACAAACCTACACATGACTTTGGCTAGTCTGCCCAGATGTGAAAGAAAAAGAAATTCATTAGAGAATCAATGGTCTATATTTTCTTTAAGTAGTTTTCTGGGTATCTTTTTATCTATACAAAGAAAAAGAAAAAGAAAAACAATAGTACCTCTAAAGATTTTTGTTTAAGATCTCAATGTGTGTAGTGGGGAGGGATACACTGGTTTTAACATGTATTTTTTAGTGTTTTAAATCCTTTGGTATAGCCCAATACAAAAAAGAAAAACAATAGAAGCAATATCTCTAACTTTCTCTGTGAGGCCACTAAACTGGAGCTGGAGGGCCCCCATCATTTCCTTACAATCAACTAAGAAAAGTGTCAGCCAGTCAATAAGTGATTCTCAACTAGACCCCTGTGTTTCCCTGGAGGAAACAAAATAAATCAAAGTAGGGAGTTCCAGTGGAAACCACCACCTTCCTACTCTCTTCCTCGGCACCCTCCTGCTTCTGACTTTGCAATTTATCATCAGAATCATAGGGATGTCAAAGTAAGGCAGCAGAGGCAGGAAGACTGAACAAGGCAGCCCCCGGATGGCAAGTTAGAGAAGAGGAAAGATCAAACGGAGATCAGGTTTCCACACAAAGGACTACATGAGAGGGCAGGCCAAGGGTTTTACAGGGGCCAAGAGATGAGAAGAGATAGAGCACTCTTGGATGGCTCTATTGAATAAACAAGCACTGATCTTGCCCTACCATTGCTGACCTTTGCAGCTGTCTCGAAGGTAGATTCAACCATTGCAAAGGGAAAGGATAAATTGCTATATGATGGCTTTCTTTGTTTTACTACAATAAGAAATTGAGTTGTAAGGTCAACTTGGGAAGAAGACAACACACACCACAGGTCTTAAGGAATTAGGAAGGGAAGTGCAAAACGACCACAGGTTCCTATATTGCATTTCTAAATGAACTGCCCATTTAGTCAAATTCACTCCTCCAACTATATCAAAAGAGGATGGAACCCACATGTTTCTTTAATAAAATTTACAAGATAGAAGTATTTGCTTGTCACCACCTCACTTATTTAAACAAGTTTTATGCCTAAAGTAAAAATAAATCGTTATTCCTGCTTCTGGGAGATGATTATCCCTATTTTCTTTCAAGTTTCAAGCTGTGACTAGTCAAAGAGTTAAGTTTCTAAGCTCCCTCTTACAATAAACATTTTAAAAAATGTTTATTTTATATCTTAGTGTAAAAATTTTCCTAGCTGAAGTTTTTCATTTCCTCAAACTCCTCCTTTGGCATGCAGAGCTCCATTTCCACATTAACACTCTTCCTAAGTCCTCCTTACAGCTCCTCAGTTGTACTTATACCAGCATTGAGGCATCTTTATGTTCTTGGGCAACAGGATGTCTCCACAGTTAAAATGCAAGTCTCTGGAAATGCCAGAGGCAAATTCCTGCCTAAGGAAAACATATTTTCACCTTTTAAAAGAAAATTGGGAGGGGGACAGGTCCTCCATTTTATATTGAAGTATTTCAGAATCTGAAATAAGCAGAAATAGAACGTGAAAAGAAAAATGGTCAGCTTCCTGTGCCTTGCCATAGGGCTCCCACCTCATTTTACACATGTATCAAGTATGAACATTTACATATGTGTGTACGTAGGAAAAGTGTACATTATGAAAGTAACCTAAAAATCTTTAAACCTACTACATTAAAAAAAAAAAGGGTGGGAATTTTCATAAGGACTGTGGACCATACATCAATATATACCACCCGGTAAACAATCCTGTGTCTAAAGATGCTGTCAATTATTATCATCACAATGGAAAAATGCCCATTACCTTCCAGTTGTCTCTTCAGCTTTCTCAAGTCTTTAATGAGGTCTTCAAACTTGACTTGGGCAGCCAGAAAGAAATCCTGTGGTTCAGGGAGAGGAAAAATACTCTTCTCTGTTCCTGCCTCCTAAAAAAAAAATGTATACACGGAGAGAGAATAAATAAAGCACTATCCCCTAGCATTACTTGCAATTAGAATCTCAAAGGGGTGATATTGACAGGGAAAAAAAAGATGTTTTGTATAGTGTTAGAATAATAATCATGACATTGTATTCTTTCTATATATGAACTATGTTCCCTCTCTGTCTACTTTTATTATCTGTCTACAGTTATTATTTGAAGGCAGCTCAAATTTAAGGTTTGAGTTCCTCATGATGACGGTTAAACAAGTTATCATAGGAGTATCTTAAATAAGTAGCTTAGAAACTCACTGGATAAGGATACACATAAAATTTATGAAGTTAGTTGCCAGGTTAGAGTGAACCCTGAAATATACAATAGTTTCCCTACAGTTCTACAAACAACTTCTTTTACTCGCTTGATTTCCCATTATGATATAAAATTCTAATTAGGTACATTTTTATGTTTTGATCAACATAACTAAAAGGCTTTCCAAATGTTATTGGACTCATGCAAAGAAAAGTTTACTGAAGGCATGTGTGGACAGAGTTTTCACTAACTTTATAACCCTCATTATATTGAAGGATGCCTCTGAATAAAGGAACAAAGGTGAGAAACATTTTGAGAGGCTACCATCTCAGGAATTTTGTGAAAGAAGTCTTCTGTGTTACAAATAAGCTGGTTCTCAACCATGCTTTCCTTATGACAAACCCTGGCTTGTCCTCTTCTAATCATATTGGTCAAAAACTTGTGTCTTGGTTGTAATACCAATTTAAAATAGGGTGTTGACATTTCACAACTCAATCCAAGAAAGGCTTTGCTCTCTAAAAGATTACCCCATTTTTCAATTTTGCTTCATTCTCTATCTTCTGTTAATCAAAACTTTGTGAAAATGCCTAGACCCACAAGGTGCTCCGCACGGGTGGGATTAATACCTAACCCACAAATCACTTACCTTGAAATTTTTCTAGTGTTTAGGAATCTTCTGTCTCCTTCCCCCCTTCATCATCATTCAAGATGATGATGTATCTTGTGAGTAACTATCAGGTAATAGAGGAGGAAGGTTTTATATTGCTCTTACAGTCAATCATTCTTATCTGCTTTAAAAGTCTCATTTTTTTCATGATTTTTGGCTCTTTCTTTTTATGGCACCTCTACAGTTATTATTGTAGCTAGGTGGCATGGTTGATAGAGTGCTGGTCCTAGAGTTAGGAAGACTCATCTTCCTGAGTTCAGATCTGGCCTCAGACACTTACTAGCTGTGTGACCCTGGGCATGTCACTTAACCCTGTTTACCTCTCAAATGAGGTAAAATGATCCGGACAAGGGAGTGTCAAACCACTCCAGTATCTTTGCCAAGAAAACTCCAAAATGGGGCCATGAAGAGTGGGGCATGACTGAAAACAACTAAACAATAACACAGTTATCATTATTATTACTGTCAACAACAGTAATGACAATGATAATAATGGTAATTTCCTGTTATTAAGTCCTCATATACCATATCATGGTACAGAGGTGGTTCTGGCTTCTCAAAGGTTATCCAGTTAAATACGATTGAGCTTTGAAAGGTCCTACTGAGATGTAGAAACTTTGAGTATAGGTCCAGTAATGGTCTGAGTATCTGTCACCTAAAGATAAGTAGCTAAGTATAAAGAAACATTTCATTATCAAGAAACTGGACCCTAAGACTTTTTTTTATTTCTGTACTAACTTTCGAACTTCACTAAGGTGGTGGGAGAGGGGAGGCATCAATATTGATGAAATCACACATTTATTTATTTATTTATGGAGGTTGGTGTTAGAATAATACTGGATAAGCCATTAGATTTGGAGTTGTGGAGACATATATGGTTTGGGGCAAATTATTTAATCTCTCTTAACCTCAGTTTCCTCATCTGTAAAATGAGGCAGGTGGACCCGATGGCCTCTCATATCCCTTCTGGCTCTAAAAGATATGATTCTATTATTTATTTATTTTAGAAATATCAGGAAGAATGATAATAAATCATAAAGCTAGCCTTTATATAGTTCTTTAAGGTTTTCAATGTGCTTTACAAATATTAACTCATTTGATCCTCACAACAATTCTGGGAGATAAATGGTATTATTAACCCCATATTACAGATGAGCAAACTGAGGCAAGCAGAGGTTAGGTAACTGGACCAGAGTCACAGAGCTGCTAAGTGTCTGAGGCTGGATTTGATTTCAGGTCTTCGTGATTCTAGGTTCACTGTTGTATCCACTGAGCCACCTAGCTGCTTCAGTTTTCCTGAATGAAAAGGAAATGTGGAATTACATAAAGAATAGAAAAGAACCGAAATGATTACCAATAAAGCCCTATAGCGCTCTAAGCTCTGAGACTTCAACTGAGTTCCTTTCCTCCCACCCATTTTTCAACTCAACCCAGGATTTAACAAGATAAAACAGCACTAAGAAAATCAATCTATTAGTGGCCCTTATGAAAATCCCCCACTTGAGAGCGTCCATAGAGAGCATCTCTATCATGAGTGAGAACACTCACATGCTGGTGAGATCACAATTCCACAGATATCTCTAAATTATGAACGTTCCTCAACTAGAATTCAAAAGACACAGATCCAGGTAGCTTTTCACTAAAACCCAATATACCCTAGATGTGGCCTAAATATTTCAGATTTAGAGGAGGAAAACTTAGGGCAGGGGTCACAAATAACTGTTCTTTGATGCCAACCACAAAAATCACCACCTATGCTTGCACTTAAAGAGAGAGATATAATAAATCACAAAATCACATACCACTTTCAAGTTAAATACTTTCTGCACAAGAAAGATCAATAAACCACCATAGAAATATAGGATTTCCCCCCTGCCTTGGATTGGGCCTTTCTCTGTTTGAAGATAATCTTAAAATTTTCCTCTGAGGAATTTTTTTCCTTGCATTCCACTCTGCTCATCACCAGTTTAGTTTGCTTTTTGAAAACTTTCATTCCCAAATTATTTGTCTCAGTTAATGGAGTCAGAAGTATATTAAGCAATTCACTCCCAAAGCAAGCAATGATTAAAACCTAGGATTAGAACCTTCTTCTCCTAACATCTTTCAGGATAACTCTCGGATTACACAGGGACTTCATGTTCACGCTTGAAATGTGAGAAGATACATGCACCACTTCCAGTTGTCCTAAGCCAGTCTCACTTTGTTTCATTTACCTTAGTCCTCCAACAAATCCCAAGCCTATAGCTCTTTTTGGCTTATTACAAGTTACGTATTCATTTTAAAAGTAAATAACAGAAACGTCTAAATATTTTCCTTTCCCCCTCCCTGGGTACTTGAACTGTATCTCCTGTCAGATAGATTGAAAGCCTCCTGAGGGCAGAAACTATGTAGTATTTCCAAATCTTCTCACAAGGTCTAAAACAGCTCTCAAAGTATGGTCCAGGAACCCCAGGGTGTCCCCAAGACCCTTTAAGGTGCTCCTCAATGTCAAAACCATTTTCACAAAAATACTAAGACATTTTAATTTCTAATACAATAAATATCGATAGATATAACCCACATTTAAGAAAAAACAAAGCTCTTTGAGGGAGACCCTGAATAAGTTCTTGTTTGTTTGTTTGTTTTGGTGAGGCAATTGGGGTCAAGTGCCTTGCCATGGTCATACAGCTAGGAAGTGTCTGAGGCTGGATTTGAACTCAGGTCCTCCAGACTCCAGGGGTGGTACTCTATCCACTGTACCACCTAGCCACCCCTGACCCTGAATAATTTTTAAGAATATAAAGGGTCTTGAGACTAAAAAGTTTGAGATCCACTGTCCTAGAACAGTGTTGTGTAGGCAGCCAGGTGGTACAATAGATAGAGTACTAGACTTGGAAGTCTGGAAGATCTGAGTTCAAATCCTGCCTCCAGCTCTTACTAAGGGTGTGGCCTGTAACTTTCTTCAGCCTCACCTTCTTTATCTGTAATATGGGGATAATAGCTCATAACTCATAGGGTTGTTGTAGGGATCAAATGATTTACTTGTAATAAGTTCGTTGTAAACCTAAAAGTGCTTTTAAGTATTGTTGTTCAGTTATGTTCAACTCTTCATGATCCCACAAACCACGCTGTCCATGAGGTTTTCTTGGCAAAGATACTGGAATGGTTTGCCATTTCCTTGTCCAAGAGATTCAGGCAAGCAGAGGTTAAGTGACTTGCCCAGGGTCACACAGTACCTGAGGCCAGATTTGAACTCCGGGCTTCCTGACTCTAGGCCCACTGCCCTACACCTGAGCCACCCAGCTGCGTCCTTATAAGTATTAGCTGTTATTATGACTATAAATGGATAATCAAGCAGTATGGTTGCCAATATTCCCCTGCAATATTTTTCCACTCAAGTTACTACGTTTCTTGAAGACCTACACGACCATTTCTTCCTCTCCACAGTGTTGCGTGTTCTGTTTTTAGCAATGATGAGTAGAACACATAAAACTGAAATTAGGTGATCGTTCTCAGACAACTTTCCTTTTTGGGAAATAAAACTAAATAGGGCAGCTAGACTTGGCATGCCATAGTCCACGGAGTCACCAAGAATTGGACACGAACGCACAACTGAACAACAACACCAAAGGCTTGAAATGCCCTGCCCGCAAACCAGTCACACACAGGCATCAAGGATAAAAGGTCTGACATTGCAATGACTTGGTTTTTCAGCATTTGAGTAGACATCACAGCATCCAGTTTTAGAAATACGACTTTTCTGACTCCATCTAGATTTTTCCAGAGAAAAATCCTGGCTATAGTAGAAGGAGGTGTGAAAGCATGTGGTCACTTTTAGACTTTCTGGAAAGGCATAATCGAAAACATCATTTTCTCTTGTCATTTGCTGGGCTTACCGAGTCATAATGGCGCAGATAATATTTCACAACGTAGTCTACTAGATTAATCCCATTATCCTAAAGAGACAAGAGAAAAATAAAGTCATTCACACTTTTAAATTCACTTAAAATCATTTGATTTACATGTTTCCATATATTAGGTGAAAGGATGACGTTCAGGTGCCTAACACTAAGTGTGTTAGTTCAAATTGACTTACACCTCAAGCCTAGCCCTAATAGCTCTACCTTTATGCCTCAGTTTTCCATCTGTACTATTGAAATAAACTTGTCCCTGACAGGAGGTATTATGAGAATGAAATAGATGATGACAGAAAGCAAAATATTTCCACAATATGAGTAAATGAACAAAACCTTTAAGTATTATTATGGGCAATGACATAGTAGAAATTGGATTTAGAGACAAATGACATGCATTCAAATTCTAAATCAGATATTTACTCCCTGTGTGACCCTTAGAAAAGTCATGACCTCTCTGAGACTCAGTTTCCTTATCTGTAAAAGGAGTGGGGTGAAGCTATGGGCTCTCTAAGGTCTCTTCAGGTTCTAAAACTTTTATCTGTATAGTTCTCTGGGACAATAATTAAACAGACACAAAGTATTTCTATTGGGGCAGGTAGGTGTTGCAGTAGACAGAGCACTGTGTGTTGAGTCAGGAAGACTTGAGTTCAAATTCAGCCTCATATTCTACTTGTGTGACCCTGGGCAAGATTGCCTCAGTTTCTTCATCTGTAAAATGGGGATAATAATAGCACCTATCTCCCAGAGTTTGTGTGAAGATTAAATGAAATAATCATTGTAAAGCACTTAGCACAGTACCTAGCACATAAGCATTATATAAATGTTAGCTATTATTACTATTATTTATCAATTATTCTATGAGTTGAGAGGAAATGGAAAAGTGAAAAGGAGACCCAAGCAGAATAGAAAAGTTTCCTATTTCATTCCCCGCCACACACAACTTTTCCATCTCTATAGAGAGAAGGAGAGAGGGGCAGAGGCACAACGTAGGAGCGCTCGTAATGGCGTGAAAAAAGGCTTTAAAGAACACCATGTCATTTTATGACCCTGGGAGGCCAGAGGAGAGCAGGCCCTCCCACAAGGCAGCCTTTGTGTTCTGCTCACATGGGTCCGATTCTAATTTGCCTGTGTGCCTTCCCTCACCTCCCCCCAACCCCCATGGGACTCCAAGGTAGAGGCTGGTGGCTCCTAAAGAACAGACTCTGCAGGGGTGTGGAGCCAAATGATAATAAGGCTCAGGGCCTGTGACAGTAGGTAGACTCCAGCCCAATTGTTGTAGTGAGCTAAAAAGCAATTCAAATGCACAGTCATCATGACGGTTCCTCATTGCTGCCATTCAGGAAAGAATAGATTACACGTAGCCAACTCCAGGCTCCACTAGGCTGGTGTTTCACATGACAGATGGGATGATGGCTTACTTGTTTCACATCCTCCTCATTGCTCCTGAAACTCAACCCCTAATTAGCTCATTTGAAGCAATCGACAGACAGACAGAAATAAAGTAGTGCTGGACTCCTCCATAGAGACAAGACCCAATCGTCCCATAGGAAAAACTGCCTTGTCTTGGGAAACAAAAAGAGAGCAAAGGCAAGCCAAAAAAAAAAATTATGAAGTACATGAATCTTTACAGAGAAGTCAGGGAGAGTAATGGAATATTTCAAAATAAATTATTTTAATTAAGGAGTATGAGAAGCAATGTGGCATACCAGATAGAAAGCTGAACTCACAGTCCAAGAAGAGCTGGGTTTAAGTCCCATCTTTGGTACACACTGTCTTTGCGATTCTGGGCAAGCAACTTAACCTCTCATTGCTCTGGTCACCTCTCTATGATTGTACATTACAGAGAGGGTGCTAACTTTTATTAGTATAGGGAGTTTTCTCATTCAAGGGTAACTAATTAAGTGGATAGAGAGAGAAAATGCCTGATGTCCATTACACCAGAATGAATACTTAACCCGACTTTTGACATCCTTGAGTTTGGGCAGAATTTCCAAGCTATATCCATCTGCCTGACCCCGAGTCCTGTTTCCTCCATTCATATAGTTCCCAAAAGCAAGAATCAAGGCTAAAATATCCTTTACGCTCTTCATGTCTAGTAAGCCCTGTGAAAGCAAATAATAAGTTATGATTTGTCTTACACCCCAAACGATAATGCAGCTGATGTGTGACAGTAGGCAATAAGATTGTCAGTGGTTTAAAAAACACATTTTCCCCAATCAGTTTCCCCAGAAATACCCATTAAAAATTACTGCTTTCTATTCACCAAACTATAAGTACTGCATATTTTACACTGTTAAAGATTAATTGGAGTAACCATGCTCTCTTTGAGTCTATTGATGCTTTAAAAAAAAAAACACACCTAGAATAGTCTCTACAGATTTTTTTTTAAAAAGTCTAACATATTTAAGCTTATTCCTTGATGATTTCAGTGTGGAAAGGAATTTAAAGCCACTTAAGAATCTATTTGAAAGACAGGCAATTCATATATGTACAGTTCAATTATAGTCAGTATGGTACAAACAGAAAAACTTTTCTCCTTTCTCAATAAGTATAAAATTAAGAGGACAGCCACTTTGAAAGCAACCTAAGGCCATGCACTGGGATTTACTATGTGCTTGCTGATGAGTCCATAAACTTTTACAATTTAAAACTGTTCAAGGTTTCCTTCAGATCCCCATCTCATTTTGGTTTTCTCCTTATTCTTGTTACTCAAATGAAAAAAAATTCAAGAGAACTTATTTCTTCCTTATGGTCTTAGATGGATAGAAATCCATTTCAGTGCAAAGACGAAATGTTTTTTGTTTTGTTTTAAATCACCTCCAATCTTTTCCTCTTCTCTGTTAGGGTGGTACTAAAGGAGTTCATTATAATATGGTAATATTTATCGTTTCTTTATTGAAAACATCTAGTATTTGGGTTAAAAAAAACTGAGCCTATGACCACTGGAGAACTGATTTAGTATCAAGTCATTCATGGAAAATATTGCATTCTTATGGAAATGGATCTTTGAAAGAAAATGGGGAAATGAAACCTTTTAAGCCTTGTACTGAACCCCAAAGTGTTTTAACATGTGTGGTATAGCTAGGGCTATGACTTTATTAGGCCTCTTGGAGTAGAGAGAGTATTGCCCCATTGGTGACACTCATATGGAATCTCTCTTTCCCTCTAGTGCCACCCTAGTTACCTTTTTGTAGGTCTATATCAGGGGCCTTGATAATATAAAACTCCTGCAAATGGTCCAAAGATACAGCCAAGAAAAAAAATATCGATATACTCTCTAGAATCACAGTCACCCCATATTCTTATGTGTTTATTTGCATTACAAGTCTTTAGGATCCATTTTATCTTCCAAACTGGATGATACCCGGGTGACCAGTGTTACGGATCCAGTGCAATATTCTTCTCATTTAAACTACCCAGGAGATATTCTACCTTAGAAGATTGTTTTGAGGGTCAGAAGAGAATGTATTTAAAATGAATTTCAATGTGCATAAAACACTATGAAAACCTATATTCGTGTCAATTATTATCATCATTATTATTATTACCAAGTGCTAGAACTATGATAAAATGATTTTGTTTTCAATATAATTGGTTTTGAAGAGCCAGTGTTTAGATCTGGAGACAGATGGGAGGCATTGATGTTTTTCTCTCCCTATCCCATTTCCACCCTGCAAAAAAAGGGTAGAAAATAACAAAATCTCTATTTTAAAGGCCTTTGAAAAACCTAGAGTCCTATGGCTGAAAATGCTCTCTGGAGGATATTTTATCTATCCCCTTGTCTCTGAGTATGATATTAAGTTAGGTAATGAACACACCTTTGAAGCCCGTGTAATGATCTCCACCTTTCGATGAACAGAGGTAATACCTTCAGAAAAGACAGATCTGAAGATTATGCACTGGGCACGTTCAGCAAAATTTGGAATCTGGGCTAACTCATATAAGAATCTGTGGAAATAAGAATGAGTTACACATACACAGATGTATTTGGGAAAATTAAATAACAGAAATAAAATGGAAAGAGCTAGCCTTAGAGTTTTCTTTGTTTGAGGAAGAGCTACTTCTGGCGTGAGTTTAAGTACTTTAAATCCAACACCTACAAAAGATGTTGGATGAGATAATCTAAGAACTGACAAAAGTCCCACCACATGGCAAAAATGACTGTGACAAGAAGTTGAGGGTCAAGGAGTTCAGTTTCCAGCCAGTTGCTTGCTTGTTATTTGACATAGTAGATAGCAATGGAATCAGGAAAATTTGAGTTTAGATCTGATCGCAGACAATTAGTTGCTAGTTGTGTGACTCTGGACAAGTCATTTTCATTGTTATCTGCCTCGGTTTCCTCATCTGTAAAATGGATATAATAATAGCACCCCTTGTCAAGGTTGTTGTGAGGATAAAATGAGACATTTGTAAAGTGCTTTGCAAATCTTAACTATGGTTCACATACAACCTTTTTTTTTTTTTGTATTTCAGATCTAGCCTCTATAAAAAAAAAAGGTAGCTTTAATGGAGATTCCCTGAAGATATATGTATGTGTACATGTATATGCATATTTCTATATATGTATGTAATATATATATATATATATATATATATATATATATATATATATATATA